TGCTGGGGCCCAACAGCACGCTTCCACATTTTCCCACAGCGGTTTAAGCATGTCGGTGCAGACCTATCAATGGCCCAGATACCTTCAGTATGACGGCATGCTGATGGACCCGCTTGTCCCGCAGAGGGTTATTGTCGCAGGGTCTGTCAGTGCGACATTTGAGGCTAAAATGGCTCTCCTCCCCATGATGAATGATGCGATGGACTTTAGAGGCGATGCCAATTGTATGTTATCTCTTCATGTTGGTGATCTTTCACAGCACCAATGGGGTGACACCATGCTTACAGTTCTGCAAGATATGAAAGTACATGTGCATCGAGTGGGCCACCGTCTACAGAAGGAGTTGGGACTACCGTTGGCCACGCACAAGCTGAACATGGTTACTTCGTCGGGCAGGATGACAGAGCTGGCAAGAACTATGCTGGGCAAACTCGGGGGTCCTGGTGAATATGGTCTCCGCAATCTCGGCATCGACTTCAGGTGGTAAGCATAGATCCCATCCAATGGCTCACACGACACGAGCGATGAGATGGAGAAAGATGCGCACCAAGAAAAAGAAGCTGGCAACTATGAAGTTCACACATCGTGGACACAAAACAAGGTCGGCTATCACAAATATGGTCCCCACGGTGCTGTATGGTGGAGATGTGCATGCGTTCTCACCTGCACAAGTACACAGGCTACGTGCTCAGGTTTCAAAGTCGATGGGTACGTCTATGAAGGGGCTGAGCGCCGAACTTGCGTGGGCTCTCACTAGAGTGAAGGACCCCATCCACGCGGCCAGCATGAGCATATTCAGATACTGCTCAGAATGGTGGATGTCCAGCTGTCCTCTTGAGGACCTCCTACGACGACATGATGACGTTCTAGGCCCACCTGTACTGGCCAGGCTATTCCAGGCTGCAATGCAAAAGTTTAACCCTAAGGCTGCGAGTAAACACTGGTTTAAAGAAAGCAAGGGGCCACTCAGCGATGTTCTCCTCTGGTGCTGGGAGGTGGGGTGGACTGTCCTGGGGCCTACCTCCTTCCTCGACCTCGAGGGTGTTACCCTGGATGTGCTGAAGTTGGCCCCTGCTTTCATCAGTAAGCGTTTTGAGACCCAGTATAAGAACAGTAGGATCCATACTACTGCCAAGTTTAAGTGTCACACTCACCCCAGCCCCTGTAGCGACCTGATTAATGAACATGGTTTGTGGTGGGAGCTGGCGGCTAAAGTGTTGGCTAGCAAACATGATTTAGAGCTTAAAAAAGTATGCACTGCCAGGCAAGTTTTTGGTGGATGTGTCCCGACCGCGGTGGAGCTCAGGTCCTGGGGATACTCGTTGGCCCCCGAGTGTAGGTTCGGCTGCGGGGTCCCAGATATTGTTTTCCACAGAGCCTGGCAGTGTGCTCACGGCAAAACCAAGAGAGAAGAGGTCTTTTCAGAGGCCACCATTTTGCAGGCGCGTGAGGCTGGAGAATCCAGCTTACTGTTCACCAGGCGCTGGCTTGCCCGTCTTTCTGCTGACCCACCTGCAGAGGGGTGGGACGTGAAGTTCTACCAAGGAGGCCTGCAAACGGACCCCTTTGCTTTCTCGCCCAGTGATAAGTTGTACTCGGACGGATCATGCCTGTGGCCAAATCTGGGGTGCTTGGCGAGAGCGGGTTGGGGGGTTGGTCTTGTGGATGCCCAGGGGAACTCCGTCCGAGGCATTCGCGGGTATGTGCCCAGAGTGTTCGGTCAAAGCAGTAAAATAGGAGAGCTAATTGCCATGATGATGGCGCATCTGTACACGGAGCGCGAAGATACCGACGGGCCCAAAGAGCCGCTTGCCGTGGACTTCGCTGCGTTGCTCCGTGGTCAAACCCATCCTGACCAGGTTCTTGCGGCCAAGTGTGATGCCGCTCACTTTTGGCGCGAGGTAGCCGCGACTCTTGATGTTGGTGAATGGGTTTCCTTCCACAAGGTGAAGGCCCACAGAGCAGACGACTCTGCCAGCAGCGCGAGTGACAAAGCTGACATTTGTGGAAATAATTATGCCGACTGGCTCGCAAAACAAGGGGCGAGGCCACACGATTTCGACCCTGCGTTTTCTGGCACTGTAGTTTCCACGATCGCCCAGTTTAAGGAGCTGTTTGTGGGGATGGGGAAAGTCCTTGCCCTCTGGCCCCCACCCAGTGATCTTCTTGGAGTGCTGGATAAGGAATTTGTGAGACCCCGTGTTCGAGGTAGGTCCCGTACGTCTCCACATATCCCTTACTGGCACATAGATCACTGGCGCTGCAGTCAATGTCTCAGGACTGTGTCACCACGCACCAAGACCCCTTGCATTGGCCTGAATCCCTCCCTCCTGGATGTGCTTAAGACCCTGGCCATTTCGGGCATTCCCTCCACGTCGCCTTTGTCGTGGAGTCTGGTTTTCCTGTTGTGTTCTGTTCCAGGTGTGGATCCTTTGGGACTCAGAAAGCCATCAAGCTGAGGTTGAGGTGTGTGCCGAATGAAAATTCGAAAGAGAAGCGA